GTGTTTTATCCATTCCTTTGGGCAGACCTTAGTACCCGCTGTGCCCAGAGGTTGCAAGTGAAGGCCACACCGGCCATGTGCCTAGGGAGCTCACAAGAATGTCACAGGATCTACAGTGTTGGCTTGGCTTTTCTTTTTCTTTTCTTTTTTTCTTCTTTTTTTTTTGCAGTACTGCAGACTGAACCCAGGGCCTTTACCCTGTTACATCCCCAGCCCTTTTCATTTTTTATCTTTGAGACAGGGTCTCACTATGTAGTTCAGGCTGACCTTGAACTGTGTAGCCCAGGCTGGCCTCAGAGTCATGGTGATCCTCCTGCCTCAGCCTCCCAAGTGCTGGGATTACCAGCATGGCCACCACGCCTGGCTTAGTGTTGGGTTTTGACAGCCTATGAAAATCTGGAGAAGAAGCAGAAGAGAATGGAGGGAAATCATCACAAAGGTAAGGGATTGTACATCTTCTGAGACACAGGCTTATTGCCAGAGGGAGGGCAAAACTGGTACAAATTTTGTGGACATTAGTTAGATCAAGAGGCTTGATGGGCATGGTGACACACGCCTGTAATCCCAACATTTAGGGGCTGAGGCAAGAGGATTGCCATGAATTCAAGACCAACCTGGACTACACAGTGAGACCCTGTCTCCAAAAGCTTTAAAAAGAAAAAAAGAGGCTTAAAAGTATGTAGTTTTGCCTGCTGTGGTAATCCATACCAAACATTTAGGAAGCTGAGGCAGGAGGATTGTGAGTTCAAGGCCAACCTGGCCTACATAGCAAGGCCTGATCTCAAAACAACAGCAGATGAAGTTGCATTTTGTAAACATGTATCCCGGGCCAATAGTGACAAATGTGGGGTGTCCTGTCCTCAAAAACACTGTGGACTGCAGGGTCATAGTAAACATAGATAATGGCATACATGAGCTCCAGGAATTTTGGAACATGTAGCCAGTCAAGCAACTATGTAAACATGACTTCTTCAAATATTTGATGCCATGAGAAATGCTTATGATAGTCAGTGGTGAGTAGGAAAGTAAGGAAATTCAAACCATGTAAAACTTATAACCTCAGTTTCACTTTTTAAAGGTTTATACGCCAGCCTGGCTTGGTGGCGCACACCTGTAATCCCAGCTGCATGGGAGACTGCAGCAGGAGGATCACAAATTTGAGGCCAACCTGAGCAACCTAGTGAGGTCCTATCTCAAAATTTAAAAAAAATATTTTTGTACCAGGGATCGAACTCAGGACCTTGTACTTGCGAGGCAGGTGCAGCACCACTGAGCTACATCCCTGGCATCAAAATAAAATTTTTTATAATGGCTGGGGGTGTAGCTCAGTGGTAGAGCACTTGCCTAACATGCACAAGGTTCTGGGTTCCATTCCCCGTACCACCACCTCCCTCAAAAAAAGTTTATATCCCAAAGAGAGTGAAGAAAGTAGATTGATTAGAAGGCCATATCTCAAAAGGCTAGCTCTCTGGATGTATGATGATGGGTACTCTTTATTTTGTTCTTATACTTTTTTTTCCTCAAAAAGTTCTACTAAAATGTCTTACTGTGTGTGTGGGGGGGGGGTATTTGGGGATTGAATCTAGAGCTGTTGCCCTGGGCTACATCCTCATCCCTTTTATTTTTTAGTTTGAGACAGTCTCAGTACTGTAAGTTGGTAAACTGTCCAGATTGGACTTGAACTTTTGATCTTCCTGCCTCAGCCCCCCAGACAGCTAGGACCCTAGGCATGTGCCACCACTCCCAGCTAAGACATCCGCTGAGACTTGGGAGGGAACCTGAAACAGGTGACAGGAGGTCATCCCCCTTGCAAATCAAAGGCAGGTCTGTGACCACCCCTGAGGCCTGGACTGGTCCCTAGAGTGGGGGCAGGGAACTCCTAGGATGCCTCGTGTCATTAGGGGGAAGCTGCAGGAGAAAAGCCAGGGAGCCATCTCTGACCAAACCGGGAAGCCCTAGGGTTCAGAGAGGGCAGGGCCTTAGCGGTCAGTGACAGTTGTTGTCTTTCAAGGAGTTTCCTTTTTCTTTCTTTCTTTTTGTTTGTTTGTTTGGTTTTTGGTTTTTGTTTTTGAGACAAGGTCTCACTATGTAGTACAGGCTGACCTTGAGCTCACTAATAGCCCAGGCTGACCTGGAACTCATGACAATCCTCCTGCCTCAGCCTCCTGAGTGCTGGGATTACAAGTGCACCACCATGTCTGGCCACTTTCGGGGATTTCTGTTTGTCTGGTTTTGATTTTGGTTCTAGGGATCTCAAGAGCCTGCGCTGGGCAAGTGTCCACCACGGAGCCACAGCCCCGGCCCCAGGAGCGTTGGGGTTCTGGAGTCCAGAGACCCCCTGTGACTAGGGAGAGAAACCCCTGGCCTTATCAGAAAGCCACTTAGTCATTGCCATCGAGTGACTCACATCAGCCAGCTCTGGTTTCAGGTCCCATTTTGGAGCTATAATGGCTTTTTTTTTTTTTCTTTTTTTCTGTGCCGGGATCCAGTAGGGCACTGAGCTCCATCGCTGCCCCTGGCCCCAGCCGCCTTCTGACCCAGCATCCTGCTTCTCTGGGACAAAGGGGGCGCATCTGGAATTGAGCCCACCCAGAGTTGGGGCACAGCAGGGCTTTCTAGGCCCCATGGTGGCAGACACAGCCTTCACTGGCCGTCTTCACCGTGCAGGACGTCTGGTTCGGTTTTTGCGGCCTCCTCAGAGGGCAGGTTCATCCGCAGTGGCCCCGTATAACAGGACTCAGGCAGGTGACCTCACTGCTCCACGTGACAAAGGTCCTGGAGGCCGGGGAGGGTTAGCAGGGGGTGGCAGTGAGCAGCTGGGGAAGTCAGGCCAGGGCCCAAGGCGGGGGCCATGGAAGCCTCTCGGGGCCAGAGCCACAGGGTAGGGACAATGGAGGCAGCTGAGAAAGAGAGGGAAAAGAGAAGGAAGGAAGGGTAAGGCGCCCCTCACGGGCTGTCCTGTGTGGCCCCTCTCACAGATGACTTGGGAATGTGTCATTCAAAGGCCTGTTCTGGACAAGTCCGGAACTGAGGTGACTGCTGTCTCTGTAACATGAAGGCCTCTCCACGCGCTGTCACCAGGCCTCTGCCCTAAACACAGTTTACTCAGAAGAGAAGCCCTTCCCCGCCTCCCTCTATGTCAGGTAGATTCTTATTTATTCTCTGGACTCACCCTGGATGGAATTTGTAGAATGTATCCCATTTGAGCTGAGGTTTTTTGTTGTTGTTTTGCAGTACTGTGGCTCTGTCCCAGGGCCTTTGCACTGAGCTGCATCCCTGGCCCTCTTATTTTTTTATTTTGACACAAGGTCATGCTAAATCACTAAGGTGCCAGGGCTGGGCTCAAACTTGCAGTCCTCCTGCCTCCACTTCCCAGAGTGTGGGGATTACACGTTTGTGCCACCACACCCGCCTTGAGTGTAGCTATTTATTTGTGTCCTTTTTATCCTTTGCCTCTCCTCGGGGGAAGGAAAGCTCCAGAGGCAGGGGCCGTGTCCTGTCCTGTTCAGGCCTGTGTAGGTACAGCCCAGCACACTATAGGTGCTTAAGTACTTGTTGAACCAATGAATGGATGAAGGGTCATTGCTGGGGAAATAAGCTCCAGGCCAGCCATTAAAGGACAATGACTGCTTCTACCCAGACCAGAGGACAGATGTTGGAGTCACCTAAGAACAAGGCAGGGGCCAGGACTTCCCTTATGACTGGTTGCCCTGATCACCCTCTGTCAGCTTCTGAGCATGTAGGACCACATGTCACTTTCCTGCAGGTTGAACCTCGGTGCCTGGCTTAATCGTGCCATAAGTCCTTGCTGAGAGAATGAGTGACCTTTGGAGATTGGTCACCTACTTGTGGCTACAAGGAAGCTGGTAATCAAAGTCAGATTCAAAGCCAAGTGTGGTGGCTCATGCCTATAATCCCAGCACTCGGGAGGCTGAGGCAGGAAGATTGCCAAGCAGGAGTCCAAGGCCAGCCTGAGCTACAATAGTGAATTCAAGGCCAGCCTGAACTGCATAGCGAGACTCTGTCTCAAAACAAAACAGAAAAAACAAAGACAGTTTTCAGTATTGGAGCCCAGGTACATGGGACAACACAGAGCTCGCTGTCACCAGGCTACTTTTGAGAAATGCAAATTCTTAGGCCCCCTGCAGACCTGTTGAATTAGATACTCTGGGGGTGGCACCCAGTAACCAGCTCTCGGGGGAATTGTAGTGCTTTCAGGTTTGTGGTACTCTGGCTTATGAAAGTAATCCATTTCTTTTTTTTTTGGTACCAGGGATCGAACTCGGGACCTTGCGCTTGCAAGGCAGGCGCTGGAACCACTGAGCTAAATCCCTGGCCTATGATCCACTTTTTCCTTCCTATTCCACACTATAATATTTTAAGAGGCTTTAACAGTCTTCTATTTATTGCAATCTGCTCCCTTGTCTTAGTTTTTTGTTATTGTTTGTTTGTTTTTGTGGTACTAGAGATTGAACCCAGGGCTCCTTCCCCATGTCTTCAATTTTTAATTTTGAGATGGGGGTCTCACTAAGTTGCCCAGGCTGGACTCAATTTGCTATCCTCTTGCCTCGGCCTCCCAGAGTGCTGGAATTTCAGGCATGTGCCACCAAACCCAGCTTCTTAGAATTATAAGTTATAGCTAGCTACATCTAGTCCAGTTCTGCCCATTAGGCAGAGAAAAGTTGCAAGGTGCTGCCAGGGCTAGGACAGACCCAATTTCCCAACTTCTAGTGCCAGATTCTCAGCGTGGCCACGTGCCTCTGTCTCCCAGCTTAGATTATAGGTTCTGTAAGTGCGGGCTGTGGTACCGGGCCGGGTGCCTCCACGTGCTCCCTCAAGAACCACGGGGCGCGTCCTCTCCCCCACCCCACCCCACCCCACCCCCCCGCCTTGCGCATGCACGTGAGTACACGTGCGCGCCCCCAAGCACGCGCCGCGACGGCCCCGCCCCCTTCCTCCCCGGCGGGTAAACTCGGGGCATCCGTCAGTCTGTTAATTGCACTAATTAGAGATCGCAGAGGTGTTAATTGGAAAACCCTGGTATTGTGCCTGTTTGGGGAAGAAAACGTCAATAAAAATTAATTGATGAGTTGGCAGGGCGGGCGGCTCCGGTTCCAGGCGAGGCGCAGGGTGCAGTGGCCAATGTTACTGCTCAGATTAAGCGACGGTTAATTAAAAAGCCTCGGTAATTAATACTCCCGACGCCATATGGGCCCGCGGAGAGGCACAAAAGGCTTCTCCGCGTGTGGGGCTCTCCATCTTTCTTCCTCCCCACCCCCCCCGCCCCAAGCATTCCCAGGCGTTGGATGTCCCCTTTAGCCGAGGAAGGTGGAACTGTCCCTTCCCACCTCAGAAGGGGACAGGGGACCAGGGCATGTTCGGAGGGGTCACGCATGCAGGCTTGGTCCTCAGGGGAAGTGGCAGCACCCAGCGGCCGCAGAGTCCCCCAGAGCGGAAGAGCCGGCTGCAGCTTTGACCCAACTTCCTTCCTTTCCACTTTGTCTGCAGGAGCCTGCGGGCCTGGCCTGGCCTCCCTGGTGCCCTGTGTCCCCCAGGGGGAACCTGCCCACGTGTAGACCTGGCTCCAGACAGGAGTCCTCCCCGACCAGCTCTGCCTCCACTGGGAGCTGGGCGGGGCGAGGGGGAGGACCGATCTTAGACCTAGAAAGATCTCTGACCCTTTCCTGTGAGGAGGTGGAAGAAGCCCAGCGTCCTGAGCAAGGGCAGTGACTCACTCAAGGCCACACAGCCGAGCCTGGAACCAATGCTCAGTGCTCCTGCCTTTCCTTCTGTGGGTGAGGACGGGTGGAGAAAGCAGAGAGGGGCCTCCTGGGGCGTGCACACTGGGTGGAGTGACTCATGGACCCTCCGTGGCTCCCAGCGGCTTCCGTCTACGTCCTGGGCCTCGAGGTTGTGCCCCGGAGCCCCAGGTCCATCCCTGGCTGGCGCCCACAGTGCAGGGGACACCCCGGTCCCATTGCAAGCCCTGTGGCAAGGCGACAAGAGGTGAGAGGCTGCTGGTAGGCTCAGCTCTGGAGGACAGGTGTCCAGGGCAGAGGGAGGAGTTGGAGGTGGCTGGGGAGTGGCTGCCAGGCCGGCTGGGGAGGCAGGTGTTGGTGGGTGGGCAGGAGGTGCTGAGTGTGTGTCGGCAGGGCCAGGCCCTGGGAGGGGGCAGAACGTGCCACATGGGAATTAATGCCATTCATACACCCTGCAGAAATGACTTTTCAAATGCATATAATCTCAAGCATGCAAATGAGAGTCTTGCTTCACCCTGTTTAATATGAATGATCGGCCGGTGAATAGCTATTATTACACGCCACACTGCAGCAATTATGTTGTTCCCTGGGTGTCTCCATGCCCCCCTATGGGAGACGGAGAAAAGAGGGGCACCTCTGTGTGCAACCTCCTTCCTTTCTTCTTTTTCCAAACTTGCTGTCTGATCTACAGCTTTTCCATGTTCCTGTCAACATTGGAAGGGGACACTGTCTTAGCCTAGGGAAGTAGCTGCCGAATTTTCTTTGCTTTCTCCTGAGTGCACGTACACCCCGGGGCACTGGCCTTTGTCCCCTGGGGCCCGGGAGTCCTCAGATCTCCAAGCAGCTACACTTGGATTCGGGCTAGCGGCTGCCCTGCACCCTAGCAGGGCCAGGGCTAAGGACAGGGAGCAGAGTGGCCACTGTGTTCCCATCCCCTTCTGTCCCCACAGCCCAGGTGGGAGGCTGCCCTGCAGGCGGCAAGATGGGTGGCTTTGGGGGAGGAGCCTGAGCCCCGTGCCCAGGTGGGTGGAGCATGGCACTCCTCCATCCATCAACCGCAGCCACCAGGCCCCAGGCTGACGCGGCCATTAAGGGCCCAGAGACCCAGTGCTCAATCTCTTCCAAACTGTCACCCCCATCCTGCCCTGGCTTCCCCAGGACCCAGGGACTGAGAGGCAGCGAAGGGCAGGGAGGAAGCCTGGAGATACAGAAATTCACCCGTGTGAGGCACCCAGGAGGCCACCCAGCCCCACTGGGACAGACACTGGAGCCACAGGTGGACATGGCCCCAGAGCAGTGGCCCCCTGCACTTTCGCCCTGCTGTCCACTTCCCAGTGCTGTGAAGAAAAGGAGAGACTATCGAAGCCACAGGGAAGGACTCTGGCCTCTCCGCAGCCTCTACCCTGCTGGAGACCCCCAGAAGGGAAGGGGGAACCACCTGGCTCCTGTGGGCTTTGCTAGGTGCTCACCTGGCTTTTAGCCCGTGATCCATGTGCCATCTGGACCAGGTCGGGACCTCTGTGGGCCTGGGGTCTGCACCCTAGTCAGGGAGGGGGAGAATGACTGATAGCTACTGGTATCACACCTCCTCTTCCCAGGGCCTCATATCATATGTGCTGTTTCAGTTACTCCCTAACTACCCTAGGAGTCGGGGATTAAATCCACTGAGGGACAAGGGAGCAGGATCCCGGCCATTACTGTTAGACTGGACTCCAGCTTCCTGGGGGGCGGGGCATGGCCTTGGGGATGCCAGGGGCACAATTTGGACAGCTTTGCATGCCAAAGCCTCCCCTGTTCACTGAGGCAGGGCACTCGGCTCCTCCCACTACCTTTGAGTCCGATTCTCATGGCCTCTGGGAAGTTCAAGGCCCAGTCTGGACCAGAGCTCAGGCTTGGGGCAGCCCCTCACTCTCATGGCCCTCATTTCTATTTGCCTATTTCTTTGGTGCTGGGCTTAAGCCCAGGGCTGGAGGCCCAGCAAGTGCTCTGCCTCTGAGGCTCACCCCATGTCCCTCTCCTTCCCCCATCTGCTCACCCATGGCTCTGCTGGGAGGAAGCCAGGGCCTGTCCGTTGGGAGTAAAGAGGCCGGGGTCCTGTCTGGGCCAGGTGCGGGGTCAAGGGCTGCAGAGTGGCCCGTGCTGTGCAGGTCCTTCACTGCCCCCCCACCCCGTGCTCTCCAGCATCCCACCCAGAGGCCCGAGCCACAAGCAGCCTGTTCACTGTAGAACAAGGTGGACTGGGACCTTCTGTGTCCTGGGGACCAGGCCCTGCCCTGAGGGAAGTCCCTGTTCAGGTGGGAACAAACTCGGATCTGATGTCCCCTCCCTATCCCCTAAAACCCTGGCCTGGAGGGAGAGGCCAGACAAGTTTGTTTCTTTGTTTGTTTGTTTTGAGGGACGGGATCAAACTCAGAACCTTATGCTTTCAAGGCAGGAGTAGTGCCACTGAGCTAAATCCACAGCTAGGCCAGACAAGTTTAGGAGCCTGGGGGAGTTGTATAGCCAGAGGGGAACTGCCTCTTACCCAGACCTGGGGGTGGGTGACACTGGGGGGCCACACCCCTAGGAGGGGTCCCAGGAAGTTGAGGGGAGGAAACGCCCCAGGCCTCAGGCCGTCCCTGTGTCTCCTCCTTCTTCAGGTCCTGCTGGAGCGACATGATGGTGGAATCTGCCTCAGAGACAATCAGATCTGCTCCGTCTGGGCAGAACGGCGTGGGCAGCCTCTCTGGGCAGGCGGATGGCGGTGGTGGGACTGGGGCTACTGGCACCACCTCAAGCAGCCTGGGCAGGGACAGTGCTGGCAGTAGGGAGGCAGTGGCTGGAGCGGACAGCAACGGTGAGATGAGCCCTGCAGAGCTTCTACACTTCCAGCAGCAACAGGTAGGCACTGCATCCTCCTGCCTCAGCCCACTGCTCTGGACCAATCAGTGCTGAGCTCCACCCTGAGCCTGGGGCAGTGAGAGATCAGCAGGCCTGGGGGCCTTGAGTTTAGGAGCTTGGACGGCCCAGAAGTGTCGGAAGGACAGACAGGCGCCTCTCCCCAGGTGCCACCTCTCCCCAGGTGCCGGCTGGGAAAGCATGGATAAACGGGGCCAAGGGTACATGTGCCCGGGGGAATCTTCACTTTGTCTCAGAAAACTTTCCCGCCCCCTGGTCAGGTCAGCAGGGTCCCTCATCCAAGCTTCAAAGCGATTACACCTCCTGATTAAATTTCCCGGCACCGAGGCAAAGGCCAGGTCAGGAGGCGAAGATGGGCTTGTTTTAGACTCTGCTCCTAGAAATCATTGCTGGTGGCGCTAGCCCTTGGAGGCTCTGCTGGGACCCTGGAAGAGTGTCCTGCCTGTCCCTCCCCGCCCACTACCCCACCCCTGCTTCAGGTGTCCCCCACAGTGCCTCATGCTCCCCTCCAAGTACAGGCGTGCTGATGCAGGTCTGTGGTCCCAGCTACTCGTGAGGCTGAGGCAGGAGGATTGCCCAGAGTTTCAAGAACAGCCTGGGCAACACACCAGGACCCCATCTCAAAAACAAAACAAAACAAAAAGCCCGACCCGCTGGCTCCCGGGTCCCCACCCATCACCCCAGTCCGTAAACCTTAACACTCCCCAGAGCCAGAGGCCGGACAGCTGCTGGCTGGGCTTTAAAGTAGGAATGGGAGGAACCTGGGTTAGGTCCCAGATGGCCCGTGCCCCACAGCAGTGTGACCTTGGCCAAGCTGTGGGCCTCCCTGCACTGGGCTGGCTCAGCCCTGAAGTACTGGGTCTGTGAGGCTCAGGGCCTGGGTGGAGTCCCTGTCACTGGCTTCAGCAGCTTGGATGTTCGCGGACGGAATCTGGGATGTAAAAAATCACCTTCTCCAGCCAGCTGAGCAGTGGGAAGGGCCTGTCTCTTCCTGGAGGGAGTTTGGTGACCTCTCTCAAACCTCCCCAAGTAGGTTCTCTGGGGAAGAGACCCACAGTCTGTGCCCGCTGCTGGGGACAGAAGGTCAGAGGGCAAAATCCTTCCCTTTATCAAAATAACAACAAAACATACCCCGTCAGGAGCCCCAAGTCTATCCTGTATACGGCCAGGCCCCCCTTCCCCACCTCTGTGCAAGCAGAGCTCTGAAAAATGTCAAGTGTGGCAGGAGGTGGAGGGGAAAAGATGCCAAAACCGGCAGAGTTTCTTTCAAAAAATGACTGAAAGCAAAGTTGAACGCAGAGCTGGAGGAAGGGGCCGATGTTTGGGGTGGGGAGCGGTGGGACTGTCTGTACCGATCAGGTTTCTGGGTCCCACATTGCGCACAAGCCGAGCTCTGCCATCCACCCTGCACATTCCAGTTATTCCTGTTTGTTTTGGGGAATATCCCAAAGTCCTGGAAAATCCTATATCGGTTTCACAAATAAACCGGGGTGGGTGGGGACCTAGAGGCAGGCGCAGGGCTGTTTTATCCATTTGGGCTCGCTGTGGGCGCAGTGCCCGGGGCCAAGGAAAATATTTGAGACTTAAAAAAGGTTTTGTTGGCTTCAAACTATGAAAAGAACCCTGCAAAATTAAAATTACAAGATTTCCAATTAAAATGCAACCATCTGAGGGCCATACCTCCACCACCCCCGTATATATGAATGGGGCTTCAGGGGGACTTCACGGGTCACGCTTGTGGTACCCCAGCAACACAAGAGGTACACAAGTGTGGAAAGGAAAGAGGCCTGGCCTTGATTCTCCCTCCCTCCCAGCCCCTGCCAGGAAGTCCTTAGAGAACAACTTCATTTACGCGGAGTCACGAAATTGCCTCTCCATCCGCAGTTGGGGTTCTGATATTTTATTTCCATTTCAAAGATGAGGCAGGCACTGCCCTGTCCAGGTGACAGTAAAAGCGGCTGCCAGACTCAGTCCCTCCTCACCCCCCCAGCCATGCCGGGCCCTGTGAACACGGGAGCCATTCCTCCACCTGTAGTAGGTGCTGGAGCCCAAGTATGAGGAGTAAGAGCACTCTGTTCCCCAAAACATCTGGTTTGGGTGTGGGTGTGTGTGTGGACTGACTCCAGAGCCCTGCACTGACTGCTACCCCAGCTCTTTTGTTTTTTTTTTTTTTCCTTTTTAGTTTTTTGAGACAAGGTCACTCTATTAGTTCAAGCTAGCCTTAAACTCACTGTGTAGTCCAGGCTGGCCTCGAACTCACAGCGATCTTCCTGCCACAGCCTCCCCAGTGCTGAGATTACAGGCCTGCGCCGCCACACCCAGCTCCCAGCTCTTACTCCAGCTTCATTGTGAGTGGTTTTGCTCTGTCCCCCTGGCTGACCTCCAACTTAATAGTCTCCCTGCTTCAGGCTCCTGAGTAGCTGGAATAACAAGTTTGTGCCATCCCAGTCAGCCCTAAATTGTTTCTTAAAACAAAGAAAAACAGTGGGGAAGGTATTGTCCCAGTAGTTTGGGAGGCTGAGGCAGGAGGTTCACAGGTTTGGGCCCAGTCTGGGCAGTTTAGTGACAGTGAAACGTCTGGGCAGTTTAGTGACAGTGAAATGCTGTCTCAAAAGTTTTAAATTTGTGTGTGTGTGTGTGTGTGAAGACAGGGTCTCACTATGTAGATGTAGTTCAGTGTGGCCTTGAACTCACTATGTAGCCCAGGGTGGCCTCGAACTCATGGATCCTCCTGCCCCAGCCTCTCCAAGTACTGGGATTATAGGTGTGTGCCACCACACCTGGTTAACAAAAAATGTTTTTTAAAGGGCTGGGGTTGTAGCTCAATACAAAGGTCTTGGGTTCGGCTCTCAGTACCAAAAACAAAAAACTAAACAAAACACTGGACTTAGTGGTAGCTGCTGGTGCTCTGCAAAGCCTGAGGTGGAAGGGTCCTGACTGCAAGGCCAGCCTGGGTCTCAAAATAACAACACAAAAGCAGCCCTGGCCGCCTCAAGCCCCGGAGCTGGGGCTCAGAAGGGAAGGGAACCGTGAGTGACCGTAGTCCCTGTCCTCCTCCTGCCCTCCCTGGGGTTCTGGGCAGGTCCGTCTCCCTTCACCTTTCCGTTGGTCCCTGTCCCTCTCTCCGGGTAAACAAGCCCTGGAGATGCAGCCCTAGCCTTTGGGAGTAAGGAGTTGACAGAGAGGGAGAGGGCATCAGAAGTCAGCCAGGACCGACTCGGATGAGGCAAACAGTGCTTCTGTCACTCGGTTTCCACGTGCCTGGCACGCCCAGGGCTGCTTCACACAGAAGCCGGGGCGGCCGCTGCCTGGCCAGGGCTGGCGAGAGAGGGTCCCCGGCCCCCTATCGGTGAGCCCCCTCCTTCCAGGGCCTGTCACGGGGACCCCCTGAGAAGGGTACACATGCCGGGGCCTGGTATGGAGCTGGCGGCCTCCTGCTGCCATTACAGGGAACCATAGACAAACTCATCAGCCCCTCCTCCACCATGCCAAATGCTTCCCGCCCTGTCTCCCTCTCTTCATTTTCCTGCAGGATGTAGTTTTCTCTAGAAGTTGCCTTCAGGCCTTATGTTTCCTTTTTATTGTTGATTTTGGTTGTTGGTGGTGTGTTTGTTTTGGGAGTTGTTTTTAAAGACACCATCTCACTGCGTTGCCCAGGCTGGCCTCAAACTTTTGATCCTCCTGCCTCAGCCTCCCCAGGGGTAGGAGTCCAGAAGTAACTACCATGCCCAGGTCTTAAGCATCACTATATAACGGTGTCCCAGTGCACCGTGGGGCTTCCCCAGGGATCCCACACACATACCCTCTGGCCTCTCCAGTGACTGGGGCTGGGAGGGGCTGCCCCAGACTTGGGAGGCGGGGCCTCGGGCTGGGTGAGGAGAGCAGGGCTGAAAGGGGCTTGAGCCTCCCCACCGCACATCCCCATTGTGCACAGTTGCAGGGGGTGACAGGTCAGGGAGGGTCATGGAAGGGTTGCCCAGGGGCTAGGAACTCTCACTGCAGTTACCGTGGCAACTGGGCCAAATCCCATCCCGTTCACATCCTGTGAGGAGACTCAAAAGGCTTGGGGAGCTCTGTGCATTCCTGGGCTTTTTAGCTCTGCCCCTCAGCAGAGATGGGGGGATGTCAGGCTTGGGGGAGGGGAGGGGAGGAGTGGAAGGGGCTTCTGCTCTGCCCTGCTCTGCCTGGGCTACTTAGGGGACCAGCAGCAGGGCTGTCAGCGCCCCGGTGCTGCTGCACCCACCGCCTACAGTCGTCTGTGGGTTGGGCCTGTTTCTCCCCAGGGTGCCCAGCCACTTCCCCGCCCGCCCGCTATTCCATGTGGAGGGAGTTTGGGGACCCCACACCTGGGCCCTCTCACAAGCTCAGCAGCTGGGGGCTTGGAGCATACGGGCAGTCACCACTGAAACCACCTCCTTGCACCCCTTCCTGGTTGCCCTCCAGTTCCCCCAGCAGGGAGTTGTGTGTGAGGGAGGGGGGGGACCCAGGCCTGTGGGAGGGGTCCGAAGACCACTCTCCCAGCAGGCGCCTCCTTCGGGGGTGCTGGGACCCCTGCTTCCCCCACTTATGGCCAGGTGCTCGTCCCTGCTCACGAGGGCTTTGCGGGTAGAGGGCTGGGGGAGCTGGGGAGCCGTTTCCTCCTCTAAGGGTGAAGGACACAGTGTGAGGACTGCAGTGGGCTGGGAACCCCTGGGGTGAGCTGGTTCTGCTCTGGGGGTCCTGCAGGCCTGGACCCAGGAGGAGACCATGCCCCAAAGTCCCCAGATGAGGGTGCGCTTCGCCTGGGGGAAGAGAGCCGCTGCCCCGGCCACCACCTCTACCTCCTGGCCTAGGACCCTGTCCGGGCACGGGGCTCCCACCCACGTGGGCCCGCCTGAGTCTGCGCGGTGCTGGTTTTCATTTTAATGGTTCTAATTTGAGAATGTGCCGATGTCATTTTTACGAGGTCGGTGTAAAAAAAATTTACAGCCTTTCCCAAAAAG